TTCTTCGCAATTATTGTATGTTTCAGACGTGGTATTGCTATATTTACCTGATTTATGAGAAGAAGCGGCAACGAGCGAAATCTTTTTGCCACATTTGTCCTCTATAATAATAACGATCAAATCACCCATTCGTCGGCAAGCAACGCGCAATGTTTCAAGTCGGTGCATCGAGGAATATTATTCCGCAGTTTGAACGTTTGAGATCTGCGGACGGGAAAGGTGAGGGAGGGTCGGGGAAAGAGATCACAGTGAATTCCGGTGGAATACGAAGGCAGCCTGCGATCCTCCGTTTGCGGAGCTTCGGAATACACGGTCCGGATCCGTGGCAATGGATCATTCTCACGTGTAAGAGAGACGTGTAACGCGTAGGATTGGAGCGGCCGCGCCGGGAACGTTTAATTCGTTACGTACGACTCAGCTGCGCAAACATTGGCACAGCCGAAAGAGCTCCCGGAATGCCTGGGCGTTTTCTTTGATATCCACCCGGTGCAAAGTGGCCGTTAAATTCACGGCGCTCGATGAAAATCCCCCGCTCGATCGAGCTGGCGGGTATAATGTCGCCGTGTAACGCCAATTTGCGCGAAGCGTGAGACCACAGTTACCTTTCTTTAATCGCGCGTCGACATTCAGATCCAGCAAGGAGGAGACCGCTTGTATAAAGCTTGTCCCGTTGGTCTTCGCGTTTTCTTCTCTCGAGTGCCTCTTGAAGCAGGCAGCTATTAATACTTGCGCGAAGAGATACGCGAATTTTCCCAGTGTTGCGGAAAACGCAAGAAACGCCCATGTTTTACTGTACTACTTAAGTCTCGTTTCACTCTTCGGGTGAAATACCGTCGCGAAAATAAACTAACGGCCGTGCACACCTGATTACGAGCGATTTCTCACTCGCACGGAGCGCACTCTTAATTCGAGTGAATCGTCCCCTAGCAGAAATATATGTACGTATGTGCATTCGACTATATGTCCGTTTTGCGTAGTTTGTGCGGCAGCGGACTCAATAGCCAGAGGTTTCGTCGAGTCCCATCAGAATAAGAATTTTTCAAGTACGATATGAATGAAATCAATTAAGAATGTTCCGGGTAAAATCATTGACAACACTTGAAGAACGACTAAGATAATAAAAGAGGATATAATAAGTAATCTTTTTTTCACTGTTTCTACAATTAGATTCCCCTGATGGAAATAGTCATTGTTATCAACAGACTTTTGCAACGAGACTTTTTACTGATTTGCAATGCTATACTTATAACTGCGACTGCTCGTAACTATTGACTGCTTCTCGGTGATAATACATTGATTGCATTTTAACAGAGTGAATTCTCCGCTGTGAACCGTCGAATGACGTCATTTTCCCTCGTAATTGTTGAACGAGTCTAACGTGCCTCCGTCATCTCAATATTATGCATTTTAACAGAGCGACTCTGATCGATTGAAATGTTCATTCGTATTAAGAATCCGCATTGTGCTTGAGTACAAGAATCCTCCCTTGTTATTCGAGTTATACCGAGTGGCGGTATTTTCATTGCCGCTCCGAGCGAATCTCCGCTCGTTTCCGGCGGGAAGTCCTTCACTCCAAGAAATTCAGACAATACGAATTGCAACGCGCGTAAGCGCGAAGCGTTAAGCTCGAAACGCCGCGGAGCTACTCTGCGATCCCTTTGTGCCTATTTTTACCGACACACCGATACACACGCGCGCGGAGCATCGGGGAGACTTCATCGAATATTACCCGCTCGAGCCCCCGAGGGCTGGTCTAAATCGAAAGCCAATTAAGCAGATAACCGATCAAAGGCAAACAATAAGCGCGCCGGCCTAACCTACCGAGATATTAACATAACGCCAAATCAGGAACCGTACGTACGTACGTATGTACGGTACACAGGCTCGTTTGCGAGTCTCCGGCAGCTATTTGTTCCGACATCACGATACGGCCCCTAAATTGGCCGTAATGAATTCTCCGTCGCGCTAATTGCGCGCAATCGTCGAAAAAATTCACGCCGAGCCTCATATCAGAGTCTTAAATATAATAGAAAAGCGTTACATTCAGTTTATATCGAAAGCCAATGAAAATACCAATACTTGGACAAGTGCCTAACCTCTGGACGTTCTTATTGTTTCGGTCTTTGACCAGTTAACTGTGGCGATCTCTTCGCAAAGCGCCCACCAGTGTGTGTCGCGATAATCAAGCGAGTTCGCTCTCAGGAAGTTATAAATCCAACTCAAATTATTTCTAATTTTCATTTGTTCATTTCATTTCGTCTTGACCTCTAAACATTTTACCCATATTAAAATTTACGAATATAATTTAGTTTTCGCCAGAATTACAATTAAATATCAAATTGTAACAAAATTTTACGCATGACGGATATAGTCGTCATGACACAAGATTCTGCCACATCTCCATGGCGGATAAAGTCGTCAAACACACTCAACTGGTTAAGTGTGAATACTGAAACTTTCAATGTAGAATACACGTATATATTCAATGCTATATTTTATATAGCATTTTATGTCGAAAGTTTCAATATTCACGCCGAAACGAGAATGTCCGGAGTTAGGTACGTGTCCAGACATATTGGTACTTTTACCTTACATGAGGATGTCCGGGGAAAATGTGTGCATACTTTCACGTGCCGGTTAAGTGTACAAGTGCACGCGCGAGCTCGCTCGTCCGGGGGAGGCGCACACGGCAAGAAATGCTCGCGGATAAACGAAATTTAACGAAAGTGGAGCGAGATAGGCGATCGTGCAGAGGGGGTAGGAGGAAGGGGGAGAAAAAAAGGAAAAGGAACAGCTATATCCAAGTTTATAACCGTAGCGTGACGGTCGTACCCGCACGCGACTACGTAATCGTTAAACAAACGGCGCGGCGTTAAGCACGTAGGGAAGTTTGACGGTGATCGGCTCGATTCCGCGGCTCATTGAGAAAAGTAGTTCGCTCGGGGGCGCGATAACGCGAATCCCCGGGCTCGCGGGGGCGCGTGAGAGCGTGCGTTTTTCGCGATCCTTTCGCCGTCGCGCGCACAAAGGCGAGAGCTCGCCCTCGTCACCGGCTGTGCTTCCTCTTTCCGGCCGCGTCGCGCTTCTGTCAGTCGTTTAATCGCCACGTGATCAAAGGAACTCCTTAATAAGACCGGCACACAGCCGCGGGCTCGCCGAACCCCGCGTCGCTCGGAAAGCAAATGCACTTTGTGCCGCACGTGCGTTCGGCGCGCGTATTCGGCGACGCGACGAATCGCTCGATAGATTTTCACCAAACGGAACCCCATTGTGTTGTTTCTCGCTTTTTAAGACCAATTCTTTCTTCGCGCGGAGGAAGCGATTCGATCCTCGCGCGCACGTCTCTAACGAGCCCGTTTGACGAAACGCTCCAGTCCGTCGCGTTATTAATTAACCGCGCGATTAGTCGCCAATTAATTGCTCATTAGCTCTCACGTGCGTCGCACACTTTATTCGATGCACGAGACGGGCGAACGGACGTCTGGAGCGTCTCGCAGGGCTGCGAGGAAGTCTACGTTACTCTGAGCGGGTGGCATGTCGAGGAAGGTGGACGGTAATCTAGCAGTATTGTTTTAAAGCTTCGGAAAAAAATTTCCGATTTCTTTTCCCCGAATTTTCCGCGGATTTCTTTTCCGGTTTCTGTTCCGGAAGTTTCCGGTGCAAAAATTCGTTTAGAAAAATTCGCCTATGTTCGGTTGAAATCTGTCACGTTTGCTCTTTTTTCCGGAAGATAAGGAACTGAAGAAATCCGCGGAAAACTGGAGAAAAACGCGTTTTTTTCCCGAAACTTTAAAACTTACTTAGCAGTAGGATCTAAAGAATCTACGCAGGCAAGGTATAGCGCGATATTAAGGAAAATAAAACATCCCCTCGAACATGATATCATAAGTTGTTCAGATGTAAACATGATACATTCTTTTCGTCTAGACGTTGCGATCCAAGATTGGATGCTTTTCAATAGCATGAAGACATTATGAAAGCATGATATCGGCGATAGTCGGAAGCTATTGGAGAGTCAATATTTACATACGCGTCAATCGATGATCGTGACATAAGTCCAATCGCAAACAAAAGACAACAGTTACGAAGTCCGATATATAATAAAAGTTAATGAAATCTTGTCAGGAAATAAAATTCGATTCAGAATAGACAAGTCAAACCGCATCTCTTCTCGTACTTTATTGACCATTAGGTGAAGATGAAAGAAGTTTACATTTGCAGAAAGTATTCAAAGTGCTGTTATTCATTTATATATCAGTGCTTTTATTAGATACGTTTATCAGCTACTCTCATATTTCGAGAATATTCGAAGTGGTAATAACTGTTGCGTCATCCTGTACAAAGTAAAGGAATCAAAGGGGTAAATTTTTTTACTGTTTACGATTCTCTATTCCTGCCATGGCCTTTCCCCGGGCTGATCTTTTTACATCTCGTCGAATTATATCGTTCCTTCTCGCGCGGAGACACGGTTTATCTCCGGAATAAGCAGAAGAATGTGTCTCAATATATGTGAGATATGTGAGAGACTTCTCTAATTAATATCATAATGATTTCCGTATCCGAGACTGAAGCAAAATGTTGAATTCTCGACTCGACTCGTTACCATTCGCTGAGGCTCTCGAAACGTATGCATATCAGACCGCGCAAATCTTGATCTCTCTTTCTCCCTTCCCCCTCTCTCTCTCTCTTTCTCTCTCTCTCTAAGAATGAAAATTGTTAAAGTTTCCGCGAATACGTAAAATACGTCTGCGTTTTTCGCGAGCGACGCGCGACGCGGCTATTCTTGCGTCAAAAAAGTTTTTATGATAATCGAGAGGAAAAGTTTGCCGCGTTCTTTTCCTATTTCTCTCTTTCTCTCTCTCTCTTTTTCGCTACGTCAAATAGTTCAAGCTCGCGGTGATCAACTTCGAGAGCTTCCGCGCGCAGGATAACTTTTGAATTTCAATTCCGAAATGCGCTCGTACTTAGTACTGATCACACGTTTGTGCTTTCTGTTTCAGATCTCCTCGATTACCAGCTTCTGCCGGGTGAGTGTATGTGTGTGATTTTTATTACATCATTACCTCCTCCCCCCTCTTTCTCTCTCTATCTCTCTCTCTCTCTCCCTTCCGTCTTTTGTGTTGCGTTCGCTCGTTTATTCTGCAAAATAATACAAAACGCTGTAGCGCGAGAGAGAGAACGAAGTGTAAAAGAGAATATATCGCGGTCGTTTTGATTCGATTTGCAATTTCAGTTAATTACGAATATTCTCGCCGCGAGCACACGCGCTCGCTTCGGGCGAATTTTATGTTTAAACGACGTGGAATTCGCTTGTTTTTTTCTCTGCTCTTATTTTCTTTGTTCGCTTGACCAGCAGCTCGTCACGGACAGGTCGAGCTTCCGTTTTTTCGCCTCCCAACCCTCCCTTCCCTTCTTCTCCTCCCCGTCGAATCTTTTCCACGAGTCTCGCGACGGACCGCGAGAATTCAAAAGCGCCTCCGTCTCGCAATAATACCGAGGCTTTGTTAGAGGAACTCTAGTCGTCCAACCCCTTATGTCCGCCATAGTCCACGTCGTCCTCTTATTGTTCCGCTCGTGTCCTGCAGGAACGAGCCGTCGGAGGATCTTTCTCTCTCGCTCCCTCTCTCTCTCTCTCTCTTTCTATTCGAGTCTCGTCCTCTCGTGCCCCTACGTGAGCCCCGTCGTCTCTCGCTCAGCTCTTGGACGGCGGGAAAGAGAATCCTCCGCGTAAATTTTTTATTGAAAGTATTTCCGCGAGCGCAGCATACGGGAATAGGTTGACAAATGTTTTTATATTATTTATCCCGGGCTCAATGCCACTAAGCTGCGAGACACGCTGCCAGGGGTTTTGCTTTATAAATGACGTTATGCGCCGGCGGAGCGACATTCCTCGGTTCACCCGCTCTCGCCGAGCGATGATACAAAGACCGAATCTTTAATAACATCGGAGGAAGAAGGAGGAAAAATCCACGCAAATTCGACGGCTGCCCGCTCTCGCCGTTATTTACCCTCCGTTAGTCGCCAGTGTATTCCAATAGATACGTTCGGGCTGCAACGTGTATCGCCGTTGCCACACTACAAATCCAAGTGTGTAATTTTACATACAGTGGGTCACCTTTTACGCGCGTTAGTACTACGATTTTGCATACATAAGCGTAGAAAGGGACTGCACGAAGTGTGTAAAATTACATACTTGGATTCGCAGTGTACACAGTCTCAAGAATCTCGAACTCGTTCTTGTCAATGTTTTCTCCTCCTTCTCTTTATCCTTCGTTGTTTTTTGTGTATTTCAATGCTTGGTCTATTAGCCAGATACTAATGAAAGAAAAATTGTTCCAAGGAGCAGAGGGAAATAATGAGTAAATTAGCGCATCTCTGTAGGATACACCGCGACCATTCACGGATGAAAAATATTACAACTGACGGAGAGTCAAGATTTCTCGCGCGTCTCTCTCGGCCGAACGAATCCTCCTCCGCGATGTTTCGTGAACGAAGCCAAATGGGAACACGGAGGAAGAAAAACGAAATAGACTACAACTGCACGTGGACGCGAGGCTGAAAGCGCACACGTATTGTGCGGGGGAGGGGTAAGCTTATAGCGGAATTAATTGGATCAAAATGCACAAGCGGTTTTTGTCTTCGTCGTCGCGGGAGAAAACGTGTTGAACTGCGTTTCCGGAAACGCGGCACGGCCTATTTCGCTCGACACGCGAGAAAAAGAGAAGGAAAGAAAGAAAGGGAGAGAGAGAGAGAGAAAGAGAGGGTGAATCAATTTTTGCTAAGATCTTCTCGCTGGCGCAGTTATTATGGAGAAATATTTTTAAATTCGTATCGAGAGAGACGGAGAGAGAAAGAGGGGGGGGGAAGAGATAGAAATTTCGTGAACGATAACAACGTGTTGAAGCGCTTGTCAGGAACGGGGCGGCCGGTTCCCGACGTTTCGCGCGTGTAAAACTGCAGTGTGAAAAAGAAGCTGACGGATTTCATAAATTAGACACGTGCATTACCGTGATTTCACCGCGCGAGTGAAATCCGCAACCGCGTCCGCGATATCCTTGTCAGTCCGGAAATTAATTACCTCGTGTATACATACATATATATATATATATATTACGAGCGAAATAACATTCCAATAAACGCTGAATTCCTCCTATCGCCCGTTCCGCCTTAAAGAAATATACGAACGGTCTCGGGGAGGTGGCGGAAAAAGTTTCAGCTGATGCATCTCGCCTGCACTTGACTGCTTTCAGGCGGGAGACTCGGAAAAAGATTCTGAAATGCAAATGGGCGTGAGAAACCGATCGATCGCATAATTTACGACGCCGCGGTCTAGAAATACCGACGTTATCGCGAATTTCTTGCCGCGTAAACGTAAATTACTTCTTTTACTTATCGCTGAAATTTCTCGTTAGTTAGCGGACGTCCTGCCACGTGAGCGCGCGCGCAACGAGCTTTTGTTGCGGCCGGTGGAAAAAAGTAGCGACGATACTTTTCGTGAAGAGCGCAAACGAGGGATACACTGACCGCGAATGAACTCGTAAGTTCGAGAGCCGCGGGTCAACGGCTAGCCGCAATTTATCTTGTTGGACCCGACGTTCGTTCGTTCGTCGGTTTCATCTTGTATTCAAGTCGGATTATTAAGTTATCAAGTTGAGAAGCTTAAAATCGCTCAATTATCTTCATCTCTTTATTCGGGATATTTGGATCATGTGCGAAAACGGTGGCAAGAATGATTTTTAACGGACGTTGGAAATATTCATTCGCATCTTGTCCTGTTTTTCGATTTAGCTTATCGGACAGAGTGTGGAAAATTCTTTAGGCGATCGATGGAATATTCTCCTTCTTCTTTCGATCTTGCAGTTTCCAAAATTCTGCGCAATGCGAAAAATATTCTCATGAATTCTTCGGGACGTGTATCACAGTGTCGAGTGTCTACATTTTTTCACTTATCGCGGATAATCGCGTCTCGTGTATTCCGATAAAACTTGGTCAAAGATTTAAATGTACAGGTTGTTCCAGATCAACATGGACAAATTAAAGACGTGAAGACGAATAGAAAATATCCTATATCATTTTTTTCAAACAACAGGTAAATTTATGTGTTATCAGCCGAAGAAGCCTCTATACACGACCACTTTCATTAATTAATAATTCGAAGTGTTGCGTGTTGTTTGCAAAATGGTAGAGGATTTCTTTATTCGCCTCGATCCGTTCTACGCCTTCACGAAATTCGGCCACGTTGATTGATCCGGACATCCTGTGTATTCCCTTCCAGCGATCCTTCGCCGCATCATGAATTCGCATTTATAATACAATTTTCCAAATTGCTTTCTCGATTTTTCCTCATTTCTTCAACACGGTAACGCGCGCGTGCACGGTAAGTCGTAAAACAGCGCGGTCTGCACTCCGTCCGATGTCAATTTGGAGGGCGCGATCTCTGAAGCAGCTGCAGCCAGAAATTGGCGGACACATTGCGAAACCTTTTATACAGAAGCTACATCTCGTGTCGCATTGACGCGACGCTATCGTTCCAGAAAGTAGGGATAAATCATTCATGATCCAAAGAGCAAAGATCTCACATTGACTCCGTTCCGTCTAGCGAACGAATGTACGCGCGCACGCGCGCACGGAAGTTTTCACATTTTCCGTCTTTTCACCCCGGTGTTTGAGCCGCTGAACCGCTCTCGAGGCTCTCGCGATGCTCCAGTAAATTCGATGATGACGTTCCTCCGCTTTTCCCGGGGCTTTCCACTATTCTTTTTCCTTGTTTTTCGCTCATTCCGTAACCGGCTTTTCAGCCGCTCCTAAGGGTGTCGGGTATAATTTACGATCTCGTTAAAAACGTAGAAATCATTTATTTCCGTGGTACGACGTAATGTAGAAAAACGATCGCCGGAGCGAACGAAACGGATAATAGGAAGGGGGTTCCGGAGGTCGTTTCCCGCTTTTAACATCGCGGATTGCTGTTTGTTGCGCGCGCGCGCGATGAAAGCGTCGAACTTCGCAGCACGTGTAGTTGAACCGCTCCGGTTTTTTTTCGGCACACACCTAATGTCAGAAGTGAACACGGCCGGATATCGGCACGCATCGGACGTACGTTTTTACTCTGCGCACTGAAAAAGAAAATCGGGCAAAAAGAAGCGAATCCCAGGGTCACGCGGATTTTGTTTGTTGCACAAACTGCAATCGTGTCGGAATCGAATAAAAATAGATCAATGAAAAAAAAATCGGATCAACAAGCCGACGTGGGAATTTGAACTGCAAAATTTCAGGCAAACAGCGAAAGGTTAACGAAACCGAAACGTAGTAACACGGTGTCGTATAAATATTCTCTTAACTATCGCGCAAGATTAAAAAACTGATCTGACTGCAACAACAAATAATTGAAACATTCGTCTAATACGTGCGATTCTACTTTGAGTTAAAGGATCGAGTAAATCAGACGATGAGTAAGAGCGAGCGCGATATACCGGGTCAGCTTAACGATTTTTGTCGTCACTTTTAAATGCAAACCTAGATCGACCTGCAACTTCTTCGTAATTCGTCTCATCGTCCCGAGGCGCGGGTTATACATCGTTAAGTCGATTTTTCGACTAGCGCACCCTTACCGCGGCATCGTCGACACGGTAATTCGCACAATGCGCGAATTCGCGGCGACGGGCGCGGTGAGAACGATTCTCGCGATAGTAGCGAAGTATAGCGCGCTCGAGCGACACAACGCGGACGCGTACAAATGCACAACCGCTCATCATCCATGAGCGGCTAAGTGGAGCTCGCGTCTGGATGTAATAAATAGTCTACTCCATCCCCTTGTCACTCCGTTTCGCTCCATATTCGTCAAACGAGGATCAGCGCAGACACACTGCACGCGAGAGAGCGAGCGCCGAGGGGGCGGCGAGAGGAGGATTCTCTCTCGCGCCCGTAGATTTCCTCCGGTGGTGGGTTTGCGGCCCACTTTCCCGGCTGCGCTTATTGTGTTGCCCCAAATACACTGTGCACGCAACCGAGGAATGCCTGGCTGACGCTCAGCGCCTCTCGATTACCACGATGCGAGGAAAGAGGCGCTATTAAAGGACCTTTAAATCGACATCGTCGCACCGGGGGGCCTTTTCGCGCGTCCGCGCCATTTAGATTTCGTTTGAAGCGCTCCACTCGAGGAAGCACGCGGCCGGGATAATTTTAGGTTTTATGAAATTCACCTCGCGAAATGCAGTCAGCGCGCGGTTTCTCGTCTGTCGCGAGAGCTGTGAATCTCGCGTTACGTGAGATATTCATATTATTTACGAAATAAAGCACGCGAAATCTTTACGTCACTCCCGGAAGCGATTGCGACGGTGAAATGTGGTCTCACGTGCGGACGAAGGGCGACCACGATTTCTTTTCTTTTCCCCCCTTTTTTTTTCTTTTCTTCCTTCTTTTCTTCTTCGACACGAGGTATTTCGCACACGAGGCTTCGCTCGCACGTAACGGGGAAGGGGGGTGTAAGGCGATTAACTAATATTTAGAGAACTAATTTCGGGTGTTATGCGCAAACTTGTTACGGGAAACTGCATCACGGGAGATTATCCGTATACTTTATGAAATTGCCTCGCGAAGAACTTCTTCCCATTGCGCTCGATTTTCTTTTTACAAGCCGGGTTTATCGCTAATTATATTTTGCAGGCTCAAATCCGTGAAACTTCTAATTATTAACAGCTATGTAATTTATACTGATAAATAAATAAATAAATAGATAAATAAATAAATAAATAAATATATATATATATATATATCGATGGAAAATGATACGTCAATTAACGTCGAGGATAGATTAACCTCGAGGGTCTTCGCTATCTCGCCGTTGAACACGACGCGAAAATATTACGACGCATTAAAAGTTTTTATATTAGAAAAACGCGCGGCGCAAAACACAATACGTTTCACGTCGAGCATGATGCTTCCTTTCAGCTCTGTTCTTTTCGCTTTGTTGCGCAAAATTATGCAGGCTGCTGAGTAAGTTGCAAAGCATAGCCCTGCTTTCAGAAATGTCAGAGATAAAAGCTGAAGGACGGTGAAATACGCGCCGCCCTTAACCGTTTCGCCGGAAGAAAAGTTATTTAAGCTCGCGTAATTAAATTGACACGACGGTGAACTTGAAATAAAATTACCGCGAATGTACCGCCGCCGTTTCTATCCTGTCTGATTAGATTTCTAATTCGCCCGGCGATCGCAAATATTGCGAGTAGATGCGGCAAGAAACCGCAACTCGTTACGTTTGGCAACCCTCCTTTTTTTTAATAAATGCATCGTCTCGAAAAATCGTAATCTTAAAATTCGGAAAGTTTTCCGGAAAAGTCGTCATCTCGAAATCCGAATGCCGTGACAGTCCGACGAAATACAGCTTTTCGAAAAGGAACGAAAACGTCCAAGGAAAAATATAAAATTATAAATAAAAATAATAATAAATAAGTAGGAAATACAGCTTTCCGGAAATTTATAATTTATACACTGATATCTTATTTCATCGCACTAATTTCTTTATATTGCAGTATCTGATATTGCAACTTTCTGCGATAACTACACTCTCCCGATTTTGTTCCTGAAAAGTTGCATATTTTGGGAGATCGTCTGTCTATAAGCGTCGCAATATTGCGACTTTTCAAGAAATTGTCCCACTTTCGGTCCGTTCTTTTGTTCAGGACGGCGCACATCGACCTCTCTTTTCATTTATTTATTTTTTGCGTATGTAACGCTGCGAACGCATTCATGTCTTTTTTCCCACCGTGAAACTATTCCCGCTCGCGAAGGTCCGCGAAACATTTATCAATGAATATTCAGCGCGTCGGGTGACAATGACAAAATACACGCACGTTACGCCGGAAAAACGACGAGCGCTCTGAATTATCGCGTTAGCCTAATCCCGAAGTAAGGGAATACCGGCGCGACGCGATGAATCTGCCGCTTGAGTTCACATCGCGACACCGTTATAAATGTTTAAGACGGCCATTAGCACAAGTCAGCGGGTCCCGAAGCGGCTAATGAAGATGGAAAATTAATTAAGTCAGGAAATTAATTCGCTTCGCGCCGCGATAGAGCGAGATATCGCGCGGCGGTTCTCCCGATTCGGATCAAAGCTGCGAATTTTGATTTGTCCCCGGGGCTTAATTAAATTTCCACCTGAATTCGCGGGTTTTCGCGCGGCCGCGAGATACGCCGAGTCCCGCTAGGTGTAAAGTTAAAAATTGACAAACACGCACGCCGGGCATTTCACCGGCGATTTCCCGCGGCCGGATTCGCGATTAAGCTGCGGCCGGCTGCGCGCGTATTATGCAAACTACGCTCCGCGGCGCGGAACGCCGTCCCTCGCAGACAGTTCCTTAATTTCATCGCGATGAGTGCGGGATCTATTTGTTCACCGAGAAGCATCGGAGATAAGGCCTCGAGGAATATGAAGGAGAGATTGCTCGACTGCGGTCCAAGGTAGCGTCCTCGACAAGAGAGCTATCTAATTACGACGAGGGAAGGCGGAAACGTCAAACAGGGCCGGCTCTACGTCGCCGGTGTTCGAAGCTCCGCTCGTCGCGACGCCTATGAGCCAATCGAAATAGACTCAGGCCGGTATTCTTGTATCTAAGGTCGTCTTAAGTTCATCTTCAGATGCTTTGTAACCAATGAAACGATCCGTAGATCCGTACAGTATCTGAAGATGAACTTAAGACGATCTTAAATGTATGATCCGACTCGGAGGATTCGGCAACAATTGCCAAGATTTCGTTAAATAGTTTCAACTAAACTGTTCGCTGCAATCGAGTTATTTAGTACGTAAAATGCAGTATAGTATCATATACTATGTAAATGGTATTAAATGATTTAGTCGCAGCAGCAATCAAACAATGTAGTCGGAACTATTTAACCAAATCACAGGAATTGTTACCAAATTCTTCTTTCAGTGTATGAATACCGCTCTTATTCCCCAAGTTTACACCGCAAGTTAAGACTCCCGATTCTCTCATTGCTGAGACGCTTTCTCAGCGAATTGACGCGATCGCATCCGAGAATTATCGAGAACGTGAGATTATCACGTTGAAATTCTCGACTGCGATTTGATCAATTCCCTCGTTTTCGAGTTTCGCTTCTCACGCTGAAAATGAGATTTAGTAGTAAGTACGAAGAAAATTTGGCGAATACTTGCCGACCGAATATATTTCATTACCGCAATCAATTAATTCCCGTATACCGGATAATAAAAAATATACAAGATTACATACAGTACTGTATATACAATAAGGAACTAAATTATTTGATCAAAATAATCGAATATTTGATCGGCAACTAATCATCCGACTTTAGTACTTATTACCAAATCCTTTTCTCAATCCTTTCCTGCGTGTGCCACGGCCCTTAAGCCTCCGCCACCGCCATTGCGAATCCGCGTGGCGGCCCTGCCCGGCGGTAAGGGAGAAGATGAAGAGTAGTAGGAGGATAGTATCTTCCTCTCGGTTAGATGCCTCCGAGAGGTACGACGAGAAGACGTACCTCCTAACGCGCTCTACCTCACCGCTCGCTCTCCTCTTCGAGTTTTACCCTCGTCGTCTGTGCCGCCGGTTGGAACGGCGGACGAGAAAAAGGGAAGAGAATAACCGGGAGATAACGACTATCGACGCCGTTGCTGAAGTCGTAATGGACCGCTCTCTTCTCAAGAACGGCGCTTGTCTAAATGCTAAACTTTACGGCATGCCCGCATGGATCGCTCTCCGGGAAACTTTAGTCGCCACCCCCCCCCCCCCCCCTTCTAGAAACGGTAGCGTTACATTCGACCGGTGTGACGCCGGTTAACTCTTTTCCCGAGCGCGAAATGTAACGACACTCGCGATTTACTCCCTCGAGAAATCACGGGCGTACAGGGCGAACAATGCCACTCGCTTAAAGGATTCGCGGTTCTCGGATCCGCCGCACGTAACTCGCGTGTCTAAGAGATGCCTCGGAGACGTCATCCGGGCTTATTGTCTCCGCTGTTCAAATATTGCCTTTGACGTCCGTGTTAACTCTCAGTTAGTCGCAGTCACCCATAAATAGTTTTGCGTTAATGTATCTCACGGATACGCTAATTTCCCCATTTACTTTCCTCCGCTTCCCGCAACAGTTTTTCGTTTATTAGCACTTGACTGATAGGCGTTAAAATATATTAAAAAAAAAAAAAAGCAGCGAAGAACAAATCGATAAGTGTTAAGATGGTATCTACTGAATATTGGCGACTAACGGAAAGTTAATAGTTATCACTTGAAACTTGTATCACGCGAGACGCTGAGATCTGAATTTCAAGTTAGAGATCTGAATGTTTCGCTTGAATCATATAATATTCGTGACATATGTTTATTTTAATTGATTCCAATCAATATACTATTACTTATATTAATATTTATACTAAATCATATATAATATGATTATATTAAATATATTTATTATAATTATATTTAATACTTATATTAACATCACATCATATTTATCATTTTCCACCCCCGCATTCTGCATCACTCGTCCTTTATCCCCCCGTCTTTCATCCCTTACTACTCATCCTTTATCCTTCATCAGATACGTTTCCCGCGTGCCCGACTTCGAGTCGCCTGACATCGGTAACTCCGTTCCGGTTCTCGCGAATCTCATCACCGCCGAAGCAAAATATCGAAAGGCAGCAGGCGGTGAGAGAGCAGCGAATCCCTCATTTCGCAATTTGCCGCGGCGCGAACAGAATTCTAAAGGGACTGTCCTTTCTGTTGCAGCTCTCCGCCATCGTCGACGGGATTTACGCCGAGCACGGTCATACCGCGGGATCGTTCACGCATTTGGCGAGCGATCAACTTCTCGTCGGCGGGGGTGCCGGCGCGAAGTCCTTGCAGGGCGCCAAGGGGATCAACAACTTCGTCGGATGTCTGAGAAAGGTTAGATCCATACCATGATTTATTTATACCCCTCCCCGATAACTTTCCCATCCTCCGCCGGTAGATAAGTTCAGCCGGAATCGGACGTTCTTGCCGCCACCACCATGCGGTGTGTGTGTGTGTGTGTATGAGCGAGAGAGAAAGAAGGAGTTCATCAACGATCGTTAAAATTCACTCCCGTCCGTCCTGGCAAAGCCAGTCGACGTACACAGAACGGTTAAATAGTCTGCACTCTCGTTTTTTTTTTTACTCGACATAAAAATAGCTTATAAAACGATTGATTAACCGAGCGAGCGGACCGGCGCGCGCCTTTTTATTTGCTCTTGTCGCGAACGAATATTTCTCCGGCGTGTATCGTGTGACGGGCGAAGGGGGGTGGCAAGGGGGTGAGGAACGAGGGAGGGGGCTCGATACCGCCGGAGGCCGCACTATTGTTCGTCGTAATTATTAAATTGCCTTTTTTGCGCTGTTTTCGGTCGAGCGGTCAGTGTCGGACGACAATTACTCCGATACTGAAATTGCGCCGGGCGATTTGCCGATGGGGAGAGTAACGATAGTGTGTCATTGGATCTTTGACGAGCGACCGTGTATCAATGGGGGATAACGCAACCGCGGACTGTGAATCCTTTCGAGGGCGCGCGCGTTGATTAAACGTATCACGCGCGCCGTGATAAATTTAATTTGCGAAATAGTCGAAACGGCACGGGGATTGCGGAAGATGCATGCATGTATTTTGGAAAAATATGTAATACGATGATTTACACGGCGCGCGAAATACACGGTGAAAATAAACTCCCGGGCGAAACGAGCCGCGCGAGGCTTCTTCGAGTCTTACTTAGGGCGCTCGTATTTGAGTGCCCTTGTTCGGGGGGAGAAAAGAGGAAGGGGAATTGGGTCAAGATTGATCGCCAATTACACGCAGAAGTGGGATCAGTGGGAAGAGCTTAGTTGTAGCCGAGGTTACGATGTCTCTTTGGGATACAGAGACATCTGATAAATTCAGCTAGTAAATTTTGACCTCCCGGCGAACTCCCCCGATCGCATTTTATCGGTGGGAGTGAATTATATTTCTTTATAACGGCTTTTAACAGCCCTGTTATATTTTTATAGCTCGGTTGTATTTTCATAGATTTAACAACCTTTTCCCCCATTTAAACCGTTTTCCGTGAGCTATTTAGCTAAGGTCGAATCGTCCGCTGGAATTTAGCTGATGGTACTAAATTATATCCCCGCGTGCAAAAGCTCACACAGAAATTTTCGGACCTTTCGGACCTTCCGTCATTGTCGAATGCACACACAAACCCAGCAGCCTCCCGCGTATTTTATTTGAAACATTTCCTCTCTCATCATTTTAGCTGAATTCGAATCAGCTGCCGGGATTCAGCTGGTGATGTTGAATTACTTTTTCGCGCGCAAAGCTCACACACGGAAATTTTGGCTCCTAATTTTATGACCTCCGTCATCGCGTCGAATGTACAAATCCGGTGGTCTTCGTATTTTTTTCCCTCGAAACATTTTCACCCAGTCCATCGAATCGGCCCCTACGGATTCGACCGGTGGTACGAAATTATTCTTTTACGCGTATCGCGCGCACGCTGTTTCCGATCGCATTAAACAGCGCGTAAAACTGCTTACAAGCCGCGGGCATTATTGCCTGGGACGCGGCGTCTCCTACAGAAATTCCGAAATGATTTCCATCGGCAGCGACTCTCGCGTGAACTTTCCGCGCGGACCGATAAAAGTGTCCGCCCGGCGGGACGCGCGCGGTCATCGCGGCGCAATGAAATATTCATGCCGGCAACTTACTCGGGGAAACTTCCACCGGGAAGTAAAGTCGAAGTAACGCGTCGTGGACGGCGACAAAGAAACGCGGAATGATGCGATAAACCCGACGCAATAAAGCCCACCCGAAAGGTTAATGGTGACTGTAATTTGCCGACTGTTTGCAGCTTAAAGCGACGGCGATGCGCGGAGAATTAACAACTCCCACGAGTTTTATTTACGATCGCGACTCGCATTCGCGATATGTAAATCGCTCGCGATGCGCGCGAACTTCCGTCCGTTCGCGGTGAATTCGCGAGAACCTTTCCGTGTAGTGTCCGTAAAGTTACCCGATCGAAAGAGTCAAGTATATATTTCATCCTTGCGGTATATACGGCAGTAATAATAAAACACGTAATAGTTGGTTGCCGAATGCCCGAGTCGATTAATATACGTGATAAAACAGCGAAAAGATCAGAATGAAAAAATGAAGAATCAAGAATGCACGGGTGCAACGAAGACAACAGAGAGAGAGAGTGAATTTTCGTGTGAAGATCAGGGGGAAAATCCGACGATAGCTTTCTAATTAGTTTCTAAGTGGTCCCGCACGCAACGGTGCGACCATCCCTTCCAGTCTCAGGAAGTACCCATAGAATGTAAAGACTGAGTGACTGACGTTTAAAGATTGAGTGCATATTTAAAGAAAGAAAACGGGAGCTTTCAGAAGATGAAATTTTCATCCTCCGAATTGTAAGCGGCGCGAGTGCCGTTTTAGAATCAGGAATCTATAATAGGGGCGGGAAGGTGACACAATTCGAAGGATGACAGCCCTTCGCTGCCTGCCAATTTATAATGCACGTGACCGAGAATTGCTTTTAGCTTGACGACGCGCCTTTGATGAATATTAACGCCCGTGATGAGAATATATTCGCAAGTCGAAGGCGCGACGCAAAATGCGACTCGTTTAACGCCCGAATTGGTTCGTTGCAAATGTACGCGCGCACGCTCGCCCTCGCATGCCTGTTGTCAGTCGGCGATGATCTTCACGGCTGAAAGCAAGATAGCTTATGCAGATAATCTGTCTCGCTTATCCGGCTCTTCCTTCCGAGAATAGCCGTGTCCCTGGGAAAACGAGTGTGGCGTGCGCACAGGTACACACCGCTTCGCAAGGACACTTTTTGCGTCTCGCTTCGCAAGCGCGCCAGCTGTTTGTATTCAGCGGAATTCAGGAGAAACGGGGGACCGCGGCTTGCGCGGAAAATGATCGCCCAGATTCGACGATATTCTCGCATTCATTCTGCGAGACGTACGCTCGAAATTTAGAGCAAGCTCCTATTTCGAGCCAAACTTAATCAGACAGAATGGTGACACGCGCCTGTTACCACCTCGACGTGTTAATCCATCAGAGGTCATAATTATTTCGCCAGCACTTGTAATTAAAGAAAATCTGTTTCCCTCCTTATCCGGTCATAATTATTTCGCCAGCACTTGTAATTAAAGAAAGTCTGTTTCCCTCCTTATCCGGTACTTCTGTTTCTTTTTTCACCTGCGATACTTTTATTTCTTTCTTTATATGATTCTTACTTGTATTTCTTTTTTTTATCTGTACGTGATACATTTACTTTTTTGTCTGATGCTTATCCGGGAGAGATCTCAGATCACTGTTAGAATTATTTCTACCGAACGCGTAGAAGTAACTGGATTATATGTAGATGCTGAAAACGTAGAAATAAAATCACGTATATCGAATGATTTTACAGTCGATAAAAAAGAAACCTTCTTTGAGCGGAACGCGCCGCTGATGGGTGAACAGCGTTAGGAAAAAACGCTTTCACGACGGGTAGAGCCCGGCTTTGGTTTCGAGCTAAATAACCACTTCGTGGTACACAATATTCACTGCCACGATAATGTCGATTGTGCTCGCAGGTGGAGTTCGCGGCGGAAGGAGTCAAGATGGAGCTGATCGAGGCGGCCAAAAGCGGCGCGGCGGGCGCTGCGGCTTGGGGAAAAATGGATTTCCACTGTCGCGAGCCCAGAGCTTCGGATCCGATTACGTTCACCACCAAGGACTCGCATCTCGTGAGTACACGTTCTCTCGTTGTCCTTAGAAAGGAAAAAAAAAGAGCTTAGAAAGAAATGCAACGTTCACCGAAGATGTCTGTATGCGTGCTCATCGCGACGTCAATCGGCCGCGAAAGAGAAGTGCACGCACACAGGATCGCCCTGTAACCTCCTTCCTGGGAAACGGTATGAGCGTAACCGTCGCGACAGAGAGAGATCGTCTTTCGCACTTCAGGATCCATCAATTTTGCCGGACCGGTTTTGCCGACGGAGGCATTGTAATTTCCAAATTTACAGCCCGATTAATCCTGACGTAGCTTCGGGAGCCTGTCCTCTTCACGATTCAAATACGCGAACGTTCGTAACCACCTCGTGTACACGTTGCAATTAACATGCGATTGAAATGAAGTAGAATTTATTCGAGCCGGTCTTTTACAAACACAGCCGCGTATAAATCAGTCATTCCGCGCGCCGTTGGCGGATTTAATTGTTTTTACACGAACGCGTCTCTTGCAAGAGTGAGAGAGACTCGAAGCTCGAGCTCTCTCTCGCTCGTACACACATAACGTGTCCGTTAAATAATGCAAGTAAGAAATGCGATCCGGCTCCATTACCGAGCAGAAACGTGACGATGGAAATATCCGATTAAATTAGGAATGCACTCGGGGGAAGTTTTTGCGCGAGTCAAGCGGGCTGCAAATAACCGTTTCGGAGCGACGGCGCGCGGCTCTCTCGCGAGTTCTCTCGCGAATATCTCCGAGACGGCGACGACGATGACGGGGGCAACCCGAGGAAACTTCTTGAATGTCCTCGCCCTAAATTACCAGGACACCTCTTGATTTTTTTATGTCGAGCGGCGCATTCGAACTCGGGTGCAGACGCGTGCTGTCGATTTCCGATAAACGCGGCTCGCGCCGGCCGCGCCGGTTCTCCGAGAGAGGAGGGACGTATTAGACCAAACCAGAACGTTCGTTCGTCTCGAAAACACGCGTTAGTGATTTCACGTTTGTGATTGAGGAAAACGCGCCTCCTACGCGTCGCGTCGATAGGGTATATGAAAGTGACGTGTGGAGAGAAGGCGGTGTGAACGGTGCCTTACGTAGCCTTCGCCTGGGAATCTCTGGCATGTCGGACGTTTCGTTCTTTTCTACCTGGTCGAGTGTATTGTTGCTATATCATGTGACAATATTAGCAGTGTATCGGCGCGCAGCCGACGATTATCGAGCACATCCCTCGCCGATCGACGTCCATGCGGGATGCGGGATCCGTTTCCGACTGCATAGTGGTCTGAAAATATTCTTCGCCAAAATTCCGAGTCTCGATGAGAATGATTTTTTGTACAGAAAAATGTTTCCAAAGGGGAAAAGTAACTGTAATGATTCAATATTTATCATACTTTTTTTCTAGATAAGTACAAAATAACTCTTAAAAGCCCCTAAAAATCTATTTTCTTATGCAGCTTTTTCTAAAAGGTGCGTCATTTCTTCTTTTACGATATTCTTGAGTAAGAAAAGAATTTATATAATTTCGGGAGGGATTTTTTATTCAGTTTTAGCGTATTAAATATAAATTGCCATCATTATTTAAAACAATATGGAATATTACTTTAATATAATATTTATACTATAAGACGTTATAAAATTGCGTCTATATTAACTTGAAATTTGAAAAAAATGACTTTTGGCCGAGAAATGTGAATCTCTCAGACCACTGCGGATCGATAGCGTGAACTACGTCTTGACAAAAAGCACTACTGTGAGTCGTTATTACTTAAGTCTCAGGAAGTTACTTTTCGAAAATAACTCGTTACCATTACTTGTTACTTATGGCAAAAAGTAATTCGTCACCGTTACAGAAGTACTAACGAATCGTTACAGTTTCCGTTTTTCTCCCCCAAGTCTCGAAGACTCCATTTTCTTCTTTTTTACTCACTGCCGCGCCATCCACACGCGCGAAATAATGATAAGAGTAACGGTTATATTCGCCACCGTTGCCCAAAGATTTTCATTGCATTACCGTGATCACTAATAAGGGAGAAAAATAACTTTGTTAGCAAATCGTTGGTCGGGAAAAAAGTAAGCTGTAACGGTAACGCTTCCGTCTCCTCCAACCATTATTATTCATTATATATTATTTATTATGTAATAATCATCGTCAGAGTTATCGAGAATTTCGCAGCGACTTAACGCAGCCTCGAAAAGGGAAGATCTCAAGTTCGCCATCTTCCCTCCCCTCACCCTCTCCCTCGTCGTAACCTTCATATAACCGAAGATACCGGAATATTTGAGCCGGCCGCAACGTTAACGCGAGTGCGGTGCGCACAGTGCGCACTCTCGTGCGCTTTTATAGGCGACGAAATATCGTCGTTACCATTGCAAATCCTTGTTACCCCGGCCATCATCGCGTCAAAGGGACGCGAGGACGAGCGAACGTACGCGCTCTGAAAGCGCGTTCGCAGGCCCTCGGAGGGCGCTCGAGGGCTTGTTTACGAGTGTGACCGTTCTTGGATTACCGCATCGTCGCGGTTTATGCAGCTGTGTGTGTGTGTATTAATGCATGCCGCATCCATTCTATCCGTTCGTGCACTGATATCCTTTCTTCATCCGACTTAATACCGAGCGTCGAGTGTGTTATCTCTCTCTCTCTCTCCCTCTCCCTCTCTCTCTCTATCTCTCTTTCTCTCTGAAGACGCGTGTTGCCGAGGAACTTCCAATGTCGACTAGCACGATAATTTCTCCGGACGGTTAGCGGCTCGAGAGAAACACACGGATTTCCTCCACGGTGGAAAAGATGAAATGATTAATCGAGGATATTAGGGGCTTGCGAAAGTTCCGTCGAGTCGTCGAGTGAATTCATCGACTCATACGATGAGTCGATGAGCAGACGCACGATCAGACAATTAGTACATGAAAGGTGGCGGGAAGTGGCGGATACCCGAGCGAAATTCTGGGTTCTACTGTCAGTTTCTAAAAGGTAACATGTGTTAACAAGGTGGATATGTTAATTTAACACGTTCACGCCGGGGTCGATTTTCATGTTTTTCGCTGTGAGGCGGCGCTCGAATTCATGCTGCGCTTCATCTGGCGGCGCCATTCAAATTTCAATTATTTAAATTTTCAACTATACGGCAATTTTTTCCAGTTACTAAACGAACTATATTTTTGATGGTGAGCGATGTCTAAACGAATGTTCAAGCGTGACCCACCGGTGATGCACGCCGCCCGATGGCTCAGTATCGTGTGACCCACCGGTGATGCACCCCGCCAGATGGGACAGTCGAGCGTGACCCACCGGTGATGCACCCCGTCGTGAACGTGTTAACATATATTTGTAAATTTCAGTGGGCCGTTTTTAACAGAACATTTTTTACCGCGTAAGGGCCTTTTAATGTCACTACCGAAAATCCGGCGCTCTACGGACCAATTGTCTTAAATAACCAGTGTTCCTTTCCCAATTTTTTTCGTTGCTTTATTTTTATCGACGTTAATAAGCCTCGTCGCCGACGCCGCCGCATCCTCCGTCCTGGAATCAGCTCCTGATCATCGTGATCAAGCGCTCAATTGTCCCACATGAAGAAATACGAGAGTCATTCGGAAACATATTTAATTAATCGACGATCGCGCATGCGACTGTCTTAATAATTAATTTGAAAATTTAACCGCCTCGAAGGCCCGAAATATTTTGAGAACGTCGATCGTTGTGTTCCTCGACCACCGAATATATTCATCATTGTTTATCAGGCGAGAACGGTTCGCGTTTGCCGGAAGACTTTGTTGTTTCTTTCGGATGTGTGGTTTTGTTTTGATACTTTCGAATTGACTATTTGTCCGCGACCTACTCATTACATATCAGACCGACGAGCGTGATATACACGACGCGAAGCTACCTGCGCTGTGTTTATAATTCGTTCGTCGAGTGATCGAAGTATTTTCGTCGGTTATTGAGATATTTCATCAAGTTCTCGTCGGCATTGCGCTGGTTAACGCACGTTTCTCCGATCAAATCGTCGTATCTACACGAATGTTAGTGCCAGTGCGTGTCTCGTGTGACGAAGCTGCCAGGAGCAGGATTCTGAAGCGAGAAGCCAGGACGGAAGACGCAGGAACGCGGCAAAAGAAATGTCATATATTTCCAGGTGTGTCAAATCGTTTTTCTCGCACAGGATATTTCCGATTTAACGAACGTTTTACGGAAGCCAGCGAGAATGTACAACATGAGGCAATAACTATTATCACCTGAAATATCTTTGAAACTAGTAGTAGAAGAAAAATTAACACAAATTAAATTAACACGGAAACGCAGTGATATGAATAATCTTCATTTCACAGACACTTTCTGTAACCTTTCTTATTTTTTTCATCCAGTCGTTAGTAAAATTTTTTCCAAATTCGACAATTTGCCGAGGCAATATTTTTCGCAATATTTACAATATAAATCCCGACAAGTTCCGGGGAAATATTTAATTAGTATATTAGAATATTAATTGCGGATTAAGAGGGTCGGTTCGGCTGAGAAATTAGCCGTATACTAAAGACTCGGGTAGTCGAAATTGACAGCATCACCTGGTAGACGCTCTGATTGGACACAACGTGTATACTGTTTCGTTACTATCGCCAAAAAAAGAAAGGAACACATCTAAAAATCCGCGAACAAACTCTCGCGAGCCCACGATATAACGAACCCTTCGCCCTCCCGTTCAAAGCCGCATCGATTTTTGTTGTTGAACAAACGTCAAACACTAGTCGCTGGGTATGGGGACTACGTGTCGTGGAAAGAGAGAGAGAGAGAGAGAGAATCATCAGCACTCGCACGATTGTCATTACTGTGTTCATTATCGGCGCCGTAACTTTCGCAACGCACATCGGGGTCCCATGGTCGACAGGGTCGGCGGTGTAATCGATATGTGTGTGTTACTTTCGGCCGGCGGATAGTAGACGCATTAAACTCGTTACGGCGAGCAGATGGTCATTCAGCACGAAACAACACTCGTCCCACAGCCAGTTTATAATTAATATCGA